AACCAGCTCCTGGGCTAGAGAGCCCGTCCCAGCCCACCCCTTCCCTTGCTCAGGCTCTTCATCAGCCTCCCCCTTGCCCTGGATATGCCAAGGCCAGAGCTGTCCCGACTAGAAGCATCTCCCTTGGCTCCAGCAAACGGCTCTTGCAATCCCCTCCTGTGGCTGTGCCCAGGGTGCCCAAGAGCAGGAGGTCTCCTCTCTCCTGCTGTGGGTTTGAGGGATGCTCCATCCCAGCTCCTTCCCCCAACATCACCAAGAGCTCCTCCAGCCTCCCAGTCACAGAACTGTTCTGGTTGGAAAAGACCTTTAAGATCATCGAGTCCAACCACAAACCCAACTCTACCAAGTCCAGAGCTAAACCCTGTCCATAAGCACAACATCTACATCTCCTCCCCCTCCACCTCCAGCCAGTCCCAAGGATGAGGACAGTGAGTGGCATCATGGCCCTGCTGACAAGCCCCGTTACTGATTAGACAGGAGGAGCCCCAGGTGCAAGGGTGTCTGGAGCTGCAGGTGCTGCAGTGGAGGGAAACACTCACATGTCACAGCTTCGGGAGAGCCTGTGAGCTCAGGTCGGGGACCTTTCGTCAGGACTTTTTGGGACTCCACATCTTCCAGAGGTTCCTCCTTCTTCAGCGCCGTGGGGCAGGTGGGTGACCGGGGCTCTGCTGCTGGTGTCTGCCTTGGAGAAGGGTGGGAGCTCTCACCTGCCTCTGCAAGAGGAACAGGGTTGGAGCTGAGACCCCCCGGGGTGCACCGAGCCCCTCAGGTACCCGACCCCACTGCACCCCACAGCACATCCCCAGCAACTGCCAACAGCACCAGTTGGTGCTTTGGGATTTGGGGCACGAGCCAAATCCAGCCCCCCCTGAGCACATAGTATTGGGGGGGGGGGGGAAGAGCTGGAGCACTGTGAGGGATCTGGAGCTGGTGGGGGTGGTGAGCATCAGGGCTGCATTGCTCTGCAGCCACTCACTGACACCAGCAGTTTGGCTGTACCCTCCCAAAAACCCTCCGGAGGTCCCACATTCCTTCTCTAAAAAGCCAGGGCATCTGGTTACACTCAGTGGTTCAAGCTGGATTTTTCATCTCCCCTTCCCATGAAAGGGCCACTGTCTTCCCGGCCGGAGCTGGCTGCCACCTCCCCTCCCATTCCCACTTGCTCTGGGACAGGAGCAACCCCCGTGCGACCCCCTTGACGGGGCAGGGAAAACCTGAGACAAGAGCCATCTCATTCCCCGTGGGGACAAACCCCAAAGCCACACACCCCCTTGCCAAAATCCAGCAAGGAGAAGCCATAACCACCTCCTGCAGAGCCAGCACTGCAGGCTGGGGGGCCAGGTGCCAGGTGCCCCCCACAGCAGGGTGTCCAGGGGGCTGTGGGGTGTCTGGGGGGGGCTGCATGGTGCTCAGTGCAATGGTATAGCCCCCTACCCCCCACAAGCCCCCTCCTCCTGCCCCATCCCTCTCCCCAGCACCCAGAATAGCAACCACTTGCACAACAGGGGCTGGACCACACTTTATATAAACACTAAATTATAGCTTGGGTAAAGGAGGGAGCCCAACCACCCATAATTTCCCTGGCTATAACAAGAGGTCCTACATGCAGGCAGGCAAGGGTGGGTGGGGGAAGAGTGACCTCGGACACTTCATTATCCTCGATACAACATGAGGTCCCAGAAGCAGGAGGATGGCAGGCAGAGCTCAGGTGGTGTGAGAGGGAGAGGAGGGTCCCATCCACACCCCAGGAGTGACAGAAGCCTGGACATGCTGCTGCAACCAGCCTGGAGCGATGCTTGCTCAGCTCTGCTACACTCCATACACTCACCCACCTGCCTCAGTTTACCCACAGGACCATCCTCTCTGCCCTTCCCAGGATGGTGATCCAGCTCCTGTGACAGGGGCTTTGCCAGGAAGGAAAGTTCATCCCAATGCAGAGTCCTGCTCACAGCTCCCTGCTCTCCTGCAGGACACTCCTGCAGGCAGGGCAATTTCAGGGCTCAACCCAGGGAAATCCAGCAGCTCCAGCTGTATTTTGCACAGCAACTTTGGCTCCAAATCCCAAGTGGAGTGGGAACATGTGAGCCTCAAGAAGGAGCCCATGCCCCTGGACAGCTTGGAGCAAAACAGGAGAAGAGAGCAAACTGACCTCTACCTATAGGTGTTTGCACACAAGTGTGGGCTACAGGTGAATATCAACCACATGTTGTTGCCTCCACATCCTCTGCCATGTCCCAACCTGGACTGGCCTGAGTCAGACTCAGACCTGCAGCATTTAGCCAGTACCTGAGCTAAAAAAACTGTTAAAGCCAGACATGAAAACCCTGATGGTTGAGGAGCTCTAGACAAAGCCCTGAGTCAGGTGCCTGGTGCAGAGCCCTGAGGGTGCAGCTCCCAAGAGATCCCTGGGAATAGATCCCAGTTGTTGGGCATCAGCTTAGCCAAGGTGGTGCTCAGGTTTCTGCTGTGAGATTCTTAAATGTGCTCAGGGCTTAAAAAGCAATAGCCAAGACTCTGGGGTTGCCTAGAGCAGCCCCATCATTGCCAGATTCCCCTGCTCTGCTCTGACCCCTGAGGTCAGGGAGTGATTTTCTCTTGGAAAAGGAGCTGGGAAATCGGCTGGGAGAGGAGCTGGCAGCTGCTCTGGGCACAGGGAGAGCTCCAGCTCATCCTGCCTCTGCCACAGCCACCCTGTGCTGCCTCCATCACACCCCTTGCCCCCTCCAAGGGGGATGAGGGCAGGGATGGTCTGTTTAGTCCCTGAGCTCTGTGGGATGTTTCCCTGGGCTGCACGGATGGTGAACGTGCTGCTTGTCGACTAGCGAGACAAGGCTCGTTTATTTGCTGTGTCCACTTCACACATATAATTACCCTGCACAACAGGAGGTCTCACACACAACCACAGCGATGCAGGGAGGAAGATGGCAATTAAATTAACTCCCACTGGAACATGCTGGCCAGAAGAAAGACAAAAATAGACAGGGAAAAAATTCGGGTAAGCTGGTCCTTCCCTGCCTCACGCAGCCTCGCATCCCTGTTGCTGCACTATCCATTC